ATTGGTCGAGGGGCACGTGGCTGCTCAGAGTAACAACTTCTCTCGGAAGGCATGGGGTAGTGGTATCGCCCTTCAGGGGCACCGTAGGCAGGCTATGTTGGGCAAACAGGCGGGGGAAAACTTCGTTCGTAGCTTGGAGATGGTTGACGTGGGAATCCAGCCTGCCCTGTGCCTTGATATTCATAAGCGCATGCTGCGTTGATCAATGGTTGCTATGGTGGAAGAGAAACAGGAGTCCACACATGTTCTGGTTCACTTGCGTACGCATCCTGAAAATCTCTGGGGCGATGATAGGTCTGCTGACATCGAAACAGCTCTTCTTTGACAATCTGCCGTATGGTCAAAGCAAGGTCGTGAGGCGGCACTGTTTCAACACTCGGCACAGGACGTTGGACAGGCGGCCGAATTTCGGAGAAATTCGTCGCATCTTGAGGGATTCAAAGGTATGACAGTGCTTCATCACGTCGGACACGGAGTTGAAGCAGTCTTTCCCAATTAAAAAATTGTACACGTCTTTGGCTATACCCTTGAGAACGTGTCCAACCTTGTCTTCTTCAGACATGCTTGCATTCACGATGTTGCACAGCTTCAAGATTTTGTTCAATGTACGTCGTACATGTTTCTCCTGGAAGCTGTGCCCTCTGAGACAATGTCTGCTTTGCGCGTTTCTTCTTTGTGTCAGAATCACCAAAGCACTTTTGCACTTCTTCAATAACACGTTTCCAGGTCGTGAACATGTCCTCGTGGTTCTCGTACCACATAAGGGCGGTGTCAGTTACTATAATACAACATGATTGAGCTGTTCGCTCGAGTCCCAGCTATTGCTTCTGCTCACCCTCTTGTAGTTCTTGAGCCACACGTCGACGTCTTCTCCTGAGGTCCCGCCGAAGTTTGGTGGCACTTTGTAGTACGGCACGGAACCCATCGGAGTTGGCCTTGAAGCATTGGATGGCTGCTCTTGGGCCATTACAATCAGCGAGGGTGGGAGTATGGCGAGGCAGCGGCTGTGACGAAGTCCTGGTAGTGAAGATCCGGTATTTGGGTTCGTCCTACCCAGCACCTTCCATCAAATTGTTACGTACGGTAAGGTAACCTAACGGGGGTTTTTAATGGGCATTGAGTTCGCGATCATAGTAGAAGCAATGTCGTCTTCCTTCTCTACCCACGCTTCCCTCATTTTTCCTGATCTATATATGTGACGCTACGATGAATGAGAGATGTGACCTGGCTCATACCCCATGTTTATTTCGTTCTGCACTTCTTTCTTCTCCACTTCTACCAACCATCACTTCATACGTCACACGATTCCCCCTCCTCCCGAAAGCTGGCACCGGTTACAAACTACAACAAATTGAAAACAAAACAAACAAAATAACGGCCAAATTCGCAGTTTCACGTCCCGACGGAGTTCCACAATCTCACTAAATCTTCAAGGCCGAGGGAGCGGTCCGGTGATTTTTATGACGACTCTGGTGGACGAGCTTGACTGTTGCGTTCCGGACAGAGCGGGCTACAGATGGATACTGACAATACTGCTTGAACTCCTCTGGGGACTGAGCAAGGATAGAACGCATTGTTGCATCGGCAGCTCGGATGTCGTCGGGGTTGTATTTTTCGTCGCGAATGGTGCAATCCCGGAGCTTGTTGATTTCGTGCTTTTTGACAGACTGTGATGAAGTGCCTGAGTGCTTGCGGTGTGCAAGCATTGCTTCCGCGTCTTTCTCTGTGTTTTATGTGGTGGTGCAGTCGGTGTAATAGCTGAGGCAGGGAGTGTCTCTGGTGACTTTTCTTTGTGCGAAAGTGTCTGACGTCTTGAATTGGTCTTTGTTTTCAATATCTTATTTTCCGATGTTCTTTTATTGGTGAGTGTGATTCCGTTGAATTTCGCGTTCGTCGATGCCTTCGTTGCAGTCTATTTTGTTGTCACATGAGGTTGCACGCTTGGCTATGCTTGCTTTGCTGATGCTGCTCAGGAGATGGCTGTAGTGGCAAGCCTTCCGGAATGGGGCATTCATTTACTTTGAGGTTTGACGCGTCCTGTAGACAGCTGATGCATGGTGAACAGGTTTCTTGCTTATCGGGCATGGTTGGTGGTGCGCCATCATTGCTAGCCTGCTCTTCAGAGGCTTCTGTGATGTGGTTGATTACGGACGCTTCTGAAAGACAACTGTGTACGAGGTTTGATGTATGATTTGCTTCTGAATTGGTTCGATTCTTGGATTGGTGACCACTGCCTGAGGGTACCCCATGTGACGTCACATCACCCGGTTGAAAATGCAAATTTTGGCAAGTCTGCGGTGCCGTGGAAATGTATTCTTGCGACAAAAAACATTCAGAGTTGACAGATAGTTCATCAGGGGCTTCTTCTTCGCGGCTCACTATGAGTGGTTCTTGCGCCTGGTAGCATGCGACGTTCGATGCGTCTGAGCCTTCTGTGTTTGGAGTTTCTGGTGGCTGCGCACTGGACGGCAACACCGCAACAGGGGTAGTTCGGTTGGGTTTGAGTTGTGAATGGCCCTCTTTCTGTGCAACTAACGATGCGAGCTGTTCTGGCGCATGAATTTGGGTGGTAAGTCCAGGGCTTGGCGTAGCATTGTCCGAGCTCCGCAGCTCTATCCCGACCATTGTGAGCGTGCTAGATGTGAGATGGACATTGTGAGTCACGAAAGAGCCAAGCGATGGAAAACCAGGAGGCGGGCCAAGTCTGCGAGATGGGGAGTAAGCTGCTCCAATGCGTGAAGACTGATTTTCACTCTTTGAGTCATCTTAGCATTGTTTGGTATTTTCCCCATGTGTCAGCTGGTCTACCATGAACAAGGCGTCCTTATGACACGAATAGTGACCGTTAGGAGCCTTTGAAGAGCTGCGTCGTAGAAAACCAGGTGATGGACCATGTATGCGAGACAAAGCATGAAAGGCATCAGTAGGGTGAGCGACGTCTCGTGTCGTATGTTGGTGCCACGACATTAGAAATGCCGACTTTCGTGAAGGGAAACCTGGTGGAACGCCACGTTTCTTGAGAAATAAGCGTGGACTGTGACGGTGGAGTGTGGTTGTATGCAGATGGTCGGTAATGAGGAAGTCCTTGTCGTAGTCATTAAAACGGGCAATCATCTCTTCCCTGATCTTTTGCCATGATTCGTCGTCTTCGAATATGTGTGTCAGGTAAAACTTGAATGCCTCACCGGAGATGTAGTCAGTGAAGTTGGTGATCATTTCCCGTTCCGACCATGATGCAGCGGTTGCGTGGTGCTCGAACAGGTCGAACCAGTCTTGTACAGGTCCATCGTCCGCTGCTCCGGTGTACTTGGGGATGGGAAGGTCGTCTGATGGTGCTGTCATAATGCTGGTCTTGGTGTTTCTTGGTGTTGTGTTGGGATCTACTTTCGTGGTCCACGTTTGGTCACTGCGTCTTGCTGAGACGTTCGGAGATCGTGGCTGGTTGATGAAGTGGCCGCCAGGTCTTCATCCCGCTGACTCGTGTGACGCTACGATGAATGAGAGACGTGGCCTGGTTCATACCCCATGTTTATTCCGTTCTGCACTTCTTCCTTCTCCACTTCTACTAACCATCACTTCATACGTCACATATATATATATATATATATATATATATATATATATATATATATATATATATAATACATATGCCAGATACATCGCTTACATGCATATAGTCATTTGCTTCACGGCTGCTGCCAAGATGTTTTTAATACTTGTTAGTTGACTTATTTTAATGCGACAGCATTAAAGAGGTGTAAATAAAGATAGGAACCACAGGGCATGTGCACTTTGGCTTTACTGGTGGCACAGTTTAGCTCTCTGTTGAAGCGCGAAAGCAGGCTGCTTCCTGCACACTGCATTCTATTCTTCTAGAGGGATATAAATTAAGGATAGACTTTTCTCTGACCTGCTGCTCCAGTGACATGCGCAACAGTCAGGCATTGCCACGAAGAATGAAGCTCAAAATTCTACTCGTAATTCTATTCGGGAAACTAAAGAGTGTGAAGTTAGCTTGCATGCATTTCTCGTGATGCCAGGGTCACCCAACTAGGTGGTAGCACGCGTCCCAGCTGTTCAGAGCTGCAGATGTGCCGGCTCTGTGTAAGAGAGAGTGAGAAAAAAATGAGTTCGATGAGGCAGCGAGAATGTGGTGGCATTGATCAAGAACCACTGCTAGTTTCCAAGGCAAGGGTAATGGCAGAAATTGTGAGCCACAACTTCAGGGGATAAAAATTCTAGCTAAAAGTAAGGACAGATTAGCTTGTGAGCTTTGGAAAGTTTTTTTTATCAAGAAAGGGGTGATATGTTTGACCACACCACTTTTGTTGCCTTGCTTGCAAACGAATACAGACTATTAGATAGGTAATTATGAATATTTTACTTTAAAAAAATTTCTGTCTTCAATGTGCATGCCCCCAGGATCTTTCAAGTCGTGTGCAGTGTATGTCTATTTTCAGTGAATCGGTTGGAGTACAGCACTCACCTCGTCATGTCTTTCTGTGTGCTTGAGCTTACATTCTAGCTAGGAATGCTTTCAAAAAAAAAAAAAAAAGAAATGAACTATTTATGCCAGCGACATGAATATTACCTCCTGAAAAATTATTCATTTATTTATTTTCTAGCTGAATTATTTCACGATTCTAGAGAACTATGGTTTGGCCTCTTGCACCAGGCACGGCAAATAGTTAATGCTACTAGCACTGATGTAGATTGAACAGTAGTGTAATTATTGGAGCTCTTAAAAAATTGCTGTGCTTGAGAATGAGTTTAGTGTGAGAAACAAAGTCAAAGATTTTCTGAAGATTAAAAGAAAATTATTCCTTCCACACGTATCAAGAGTATATGCAATAGAGTACAACTAATTGTAAGGTAACTGTCTAGTAGACGTGTAATCTGAATACAAAAGGTACATGAAACGATTGCATGACATAATAGTTTCTTGCATATTATTTTTTTATAAAATTGTTTTGTTCAGAGTACACTATTGTATCCTTTAGGCAATGAATCCTGATCCATATCGAGGTGTCTGGGGTGGCTCCAAGTGTCGTGACTCGCCAGTTCAGGCAGACCGCACCTGTTCATGTGGCACAGAATGTCAAGCTGCCTCTCACTATGCTGATCAGCTGAATGAAGTACTACAGCAGTGTGTCTCCAAAAAGAAGGTGGCAGCTTTTTTTGCTGAAAGCATACAGGTATTTCCTAATGTTTTCTTTATTTAGTTGTTTTTGCATATGTTAAAGATAATCTCTTTCTCTTGGGTCATCACGATTTGTCTGGCTGATGCCTGCTTTCCCACGGGGTTGTTAGGGTGCTTGGGATGCCTGTGCAATGTGCTTGTGAAAGGGATTATGGCAAGTCTTTCTTATTCTGACCAGATTTTTTTGGACTCGGTTGCCAACTAGACATTCGAACAACAAAAGAACGAAGGATCCTCTTTTAGCTCCTTAACCCAGTTGTAAATACGTAAACTTAACTTCTTGTAGCTACTAGAAACCTTGGCAGTGAGTGTTGACTTTGTATGTTTTTATAACAGCATATAACTATTTCAATGCAATAGTGTTAAAGAGCTCATTACAAGGTATTCTGGTGTCGGTGTCAATGTCGTTGGTTGTGAATAAAAGAGTCTGTGCTAGTCCTGGAGCAAAATATTGCAAAAAATGCATCTAATAACTTTACCATAACTCTGAGCCAGAATTAAGCTCAGGTCTTCTGCATGGCAAGCAGGTGTCCTACTTCAGAGCTATGTTAGTGTTTAGAACTGTATTGAAAAAAAAAAAAAAAAACCTTATACAGGGTGCTATATACTGGAAGGTTTTCTGTCAACAAGCATAAAATTGTGTGGCAGAAGCAAAAAATTGTACCAGTCACGCTATTTAAGCTGCTCGAGTAGGTGGTTTCAAAACCTATTCTTACAGAGTTCTCAAACATAATAATCATGATTATCACCTGCAACAGCATCAACGAAATGTACAGCCAAGAAAATGCGTGAAATGCCTTACAGACATGCAGTGGACACTTCAGTAATACTTAGAATGATGAATTATGGTGTAGTGGGCACTTCGCAACTGTACTTGCATTAGACATTCCAGGATAGTTTAAAATGGCAGAAAGTTCTTTTCCCCGCGACATAGTCGAAGTGTTCACCAAAAAGTGAAGCCTGGCTAGCAAATGAGAATATGAAGAAAATGGGGCCCAACTACACCATCGTGCTCCACTCTTGAAGGCAACACTTACGATTAGCACTACTAGACAGAAAAAAAGAGGTTTAATGAAACGTGGTAAGAGTGTCCAAGTATTCAAAAAATTTGAATAATGAATAGAATAGCATTCTATTTGATTCGGCACTCGAATTGAATATTACATATTGCAGCGAACAAATATCATCATCATCATCAGCCTGACTATGTACACTGCAGGACAAAGGCCTTTCCCATGTTCCGCCAGTCAACTCGGTCCTGTGCTTGCTACTGCCAATTTATCCCCGCAAACTTCTTAATCTTATCTACCTACCTAACCTTCTGTCTCCCCCTAACTCTCTTGCCTTCTCTGGGAATCCAGTTAGTTACCCTTAATGACCAGAGGTTGTCCTGTCTACGCACTACATGCCCGGCACATGCCCATTTCTTCTTCTTGATTTCAACTATTATATCCTTAACCCCCGCTTGTTCCTTAATCCACTCTGCTCTTTTCTTGTCTCTTAAGGTAACACCTACCATTTTTTTTTCCATTGCTCGCTGCATCGTCCTCAATTTAAGCTGAACCCTTTTTGTAAGTCTCCAGGTTTCTGCTCTGTAACTAAGTACCGGCAAGATACAGCTGTTATATACGTTCCTCTTGAAGGATAGTGGCAATCTACTTGTCATAATTTGGGAGTGCTTGCCAAAAGCGCTCCACCCCATTCTCATTCTTCTAGTTACTTCAGTCTCGTGGTTCGGCTCCGCGGTTATTACCTGCCCTAAGTAGACATAGTCTTTTACAACTTGAAGTGGACTATTACCTATCTCAAAGTGCTGCTTTCTTCCGAGGTTGTTGTACATTATTTTCGTTTTTTGCAGATTAATTTTAAGACCCACTTTTCTGCTCTCCTTGCGTAACTCCGTATTCATGAGTTGCAATTCATCTCCTGAGTTACTCAGCAATGCAATGGCATCGGCAAAGCGCAGGTTACTAAGGTACTCTCCATTAACTCTTATCTCTAACTGTTCCCATTCCAGGCCTCTGAAAACCTCCTGTAAGCACCCGGTAAATAGCATCGGGGAGATTGTATCCCCCTGCCTTACACCCTTCTTCATTGGTATTCTGTTGCTTTCTTTATGAAGCACTATGGTAGTAGTTGATGACCTGTGGATTTCTTCCAGGATGTTTATATATACTTCATCGATGCCCTGATTCCGCAGTGTCTGTATGACGGCTGATATTTCTACTGAATCAAACGCCTTCTCGTAATCTATGAAGGCTATGTATAGTGCTTAGTTATATTCCGAGCATTTCTCTATTACTTGATTGATAGTATGAATGTGGTTGATTGTTGAGTAGCCTGTTTAAAATCCTGGTTCTTCCCTTAGTCGATTGAATTCTAATGTTTTCTTAACTCTGTTAGCAATGACCTTTGTAAATAGCTTGTATACTACGGATAGCAAGCTGATCGGCCTGTAATTCTTGAAGTCCTTGTCATCTCCTTTCTTATGTATTGAGATGATGTTAGCATTCTTCCAAGACTCTGGTACTCTTCCCACCAGGAGACACCTCGTAAACAGGGTCGCTAGTTTTTTTAACACAATCTGTCCTCCTTTCAGCAGATCTGATGTTACCTGATCCTCACCAGCAGCTTTGCCTCTTTGCATGCTCTTCAAAGCTTTTCTGAATTCTTCTATCATTACTGGTGGATAGTCATCTGGGTTACTGCTAGTTCTTATAGTATTAAAGTCGTGGTTGTCTCGGATACTGTACAGATCTCTGTAAAACTCCTCCGCTATTTTAACTATCCTATCCATATTGGTAGTTATTTTGCCTTCTTTGTCCCTTAGTGTATATATCCGATTTTTGCCCATCCCAAGTTTCCTCTTCACTGTTTTGACGCTTCCTCCGTTTTTCAGAGCATGTTCAATTCTCTCCATGTTATACCTTCTTACATCGAATACCTTACACCTATTAATCAACTTCAAAAGCTCTGCCAGTTCTATTTTGTCTGTTGTACTTGAGACTCTCATGATTTGACACTTCTTAATGAAATTATTCGTTTCCTGGGAAAGCTTGCCAGTGTCCTGTCTAACTACCTTGCCTCCAACTTCCGCTGCACACTCCGTAATGAAACTCGTCAGATTATCATTCATTATATCTACGTTAAGGTTGGTTTGCTCACTAATAACCGAGTACCTGTTTTGAAGCGAGACTCTTAATTCCTGTACTTTCCCTCTCAGTGCTAGCTCATTGATTGGCTTCTTGCGTATCAGTTTCTGTCGCTCCTTCTTCAAGTCTAGGTGAATTCGAGACCGTACCATTCTATGGTCACTGCATCGTACCCTGCCAACCTTTTCCACATCCTGCACGATGCCTGGGTGTGCACTCATTATAAAGTCTATTTCGTTCTTTTTTTCACCATTAGGGCTCCTCCATGTCCACTTACGGTTTTCTCGTTTTCGGTAGAAGGTATTAAAAATCTGTAATATATTGCATTCTGCAAATTCTACTAGTAGCTCTCCTCTGGCATTTCTAGTACTGATGCCATGATGTCCTACTGCCTGATCTCCAGCGTGCCTTTTCCCTACTGTGGTGGTTCTTGGGCCCTCAGACGCAGAAACCCAAGACAAGGACAAGAGAAACATCTATTGACTTCACACACAAAACAATCACAACACTGTGGCTATCTGTACAACACACTGGCTCCGTAATTCAGTCATACAGTCCCTATGTCTACGCGCCCGCGAGTAACCCACGCGTCCTCACTACTCGGAAGTCTTAATTCCGTCGGGTGCCACTCACGCTCCCGCTGAAGACGATGGCGTCGACGACGCAACCTCGCCACGGGGAGGTTGCCAAGTGCACGGAAGCTCACGAGCAGACCATCAGCTGCTCGTGCTGGACCAGGCGGCCTCACGCTGCGGCCGACACAACACCGAGGTCGCACCTTCAATTGGCGGTTGTGCCGGACCGGCTCCGACGTGGCACCGTGGCCACGATCTCGGTGACTGGTTGTGCCGGACCCGAGTCTGGACAGGATCAGCCGCTTGCCCTGGCCCACACGCTCGTCCGCCACAGGAACAGCATGTCAGGCCCGGCCCGGAACCGCCACTCGCCTCAGGAACATGCCACGCTCGTCCCGGTTGGGTTGGTGACACCCGCTCGTTGGTTCGGTCCCCTGAGGCCCAACGCCTAGCGCTCTTGCTAGCTGGCCGCGTTCTTCCTCTGCCCGTCGCTGTTCCGAAACTCACGCGCTCACGTTCGTCTGACCCCGTGCACACTTTCGTCTTCGTCGGTTATTTTCCGCTGTCGGTTTCACTTCCAGTTTCGATTTTGGTTGTGAGAAGCACTCTTACCACACTCCCCCCAACTTCCAGTACGTTGTACACACGTAACACACAGTTCCCGAATATAACAAAGGTTCCGCACACTTTAAATGTCACAGTTTAGAAAAAACCAATTGCACTATGATGATAACATGATAAAAAAAATTGTGTACAACGGCAATAAGTCACTGCTCGGTAAAAGCCGCTCGACTCATGTAGTCGGCACCAACGTTGTTCACACCACGAATGTGTTCCACGTGAAAGTCATATTCCATAAGAAGGAGACTCCACCGCTGCTCGCCTCGTTCTCGCGTCCATTACGGGCCCCGGCCTTCTTGGATGGTGACTTGGTTCTGCGTCGGCGGGACCTTGGGTGTCGGTACATCGGAGGAGGTCGTTGCCACGAAGGGGCACTCCCCCTGTCCTGGGAGTCCTCCTGGCTCCTGTTGCCACTTCCGCCGCTACCTCCCCGTACTCCTTCTTCGAGATTTTTTTCCCGGAGCTGTTCCGTCCTGCCATTTCCAGGTTGCTCTGAAAACGGCCACGTCGTCTACGAAAGTAGCGGCCACGGAACCGCCGTGGAGGGCGCCGGGGTGGGGGTTCGTTGAAAACCTCTTCTTCGACGTACGCTGACCGTGGCTCATCGACAATGAAACGCTGCGGTGGCGGCGGTGGCGGTGGTGGGG